TTGGTGCGTTTCATAATAAGGGTGAGATCTGCATTGCTGGGAGTCGTGTGTACGTGCAAGAAGGCATCTATGATGAGTTTGTACGTCGCACCGTCGAGGCCGCAAGTGCACGTGTAGTGGGTGATCCGTTCAATGCTGCCACTCAGCAAGGACCACAGATCAGCGAAAATCAGTTTGACAAAATTCTAAGATACGTGGAAAAAGGTGTCAAGGAGGGAGCTCGTCTGTTGACTGGAGGCAAGCGTCATGGTGACAAAGGTTGGTTTATTGAACCAACTGTATTTGCGGACGTGACAGATGACATGGTCATTGCTCGCGAGGAAATTTTTGGTCCTGTGATGTCTATTTTCAAGTTTAAGACTATTGATGAGGTCATTGCACGCGCCAACGACTCAAACTATGGTCTAGGTGCTGGTGTTATGACGAGCAATCTTGATAGTGCCATAAAAATCTCCAACAGCATTCGTGCTGGGTCGGTGTACGTGAATTGTTATGGGGTTTGCCCCGGAAATGCACCGTTTGGAGGCTTTAAGGACTCTGGAGTTGGTCGGGAGAATGGCGAATCGGGTCTGCACAACTATCTGGAATACAAGACGATCATCATCAAGCGCCCCGACGACGCGATGCCGTAAACATATTTTTTAAGTGGTATACTAGCACAGTAAATGAATATCGACATGTCTGTTTGTTCTTTTTTTTGCGATGTCATGTATCCTTGCCAAATGGTTTTGGTTAGATCATCATTTCTCCTCAATTTTGTCTCGTAATTCAGAGATAAATTACATAAATCTAATTATAAATTGTTTTCATTTTTACTCTAAATTTAAGTTTTTTAATACTTTTTCATCTGTCCTCTCAGCACTCCCATGAAAGCAGAGAGATTTTCTAAGAGACTGTGAATAGAGAACAGAACAATTGTACAAGATACAAATTTAAACAATTGTATGAAATTTCACACGATTCCGAAGCATTGATGCACTTTGTTTAGAGTGAGCGCTGACTCTAAGAATTTGCAAACAAATGCACAGATATTAAGTTCGTGCACTCTTACCGAGAGCACTTCGAGATCCACTTTCATGACTAGAAGTCTTCCCTGTTATATGAGAGAATTAATGATTCTTTGACGAATATTTATTACATACGTTCTCATGCTATCTGTAATGATAATACTCTCGTGAATTTAAACGTGCGGCTAGCAGCCCACGTATACCATGCTTCCTCTTTCAAATTCCATCAGCTTCATACATAACGATATTTTAGTACTTATGGATACTCACAACAACGTTAAAGTTTCATACAATTCTACTTGATACAATCGCACGAAAGGAAGAGTACAAGACCACAGTACAGACCTTGTTACACCCTTCTCCACAAAGAAATGAGCCACACTAGGTTCACACCAATTATTCAATTTGAGGACAGTACGCAAAATTGACAGATTCACGAGCTACCACTGCGCCCCGCAGTTCCACTCCATTCGCTGCGCTTAATCATACCTGCTCGTCTCTGAATATTTGAAACGGGAGTCAATTCTCTTGCACCAAGCCAAACGATACAGCGACCCCACAAAAGCGCGATTGTTGTGAGCAACACACTAAGAAATTCAGCAACAATGTCGAGGTGTTCTACGATGAAAAGGGTCTTAGATACGCTTTGATTGACCAAACACCTCCGATCTCATCTAGCATAGCCGCTTCCCGGGTAGAGCATGCTCATTGTTCTGAGCCTCCCCCCTGCGCGAGTCTTGAATTTCGTGTTCGATATCATCATCGAGATGAGGTGCGATTCCCCGCCGTGATATTAACGACGATGTCCGGCTCTTTACCAACGATCTACAACTGGTTCAAAAAGCCTATCTTGCTACAGTGCAGGAGCAAGTGTAACGGGAATGGCCCGTCCGTTTACGCACACTTTCTGACGAAGGCTTGGGTCAGCTGGTACGCCTCACCGCGTGTTGCTCGCTTCCAGCGGGGCGTTGACTTACGTAGAAGGGAGGATAGGTGGAGTGACATTTATTATGGATGATAGGCTTTACTACCTCCCTAAGTGCTTCAATTCTGATACAACAGAGCAAAAAGGAGAACAGAGCTAAGAGGAGATAGACAACTATACAGGGTATGCAGTTGATGTAAGTCACACCAATTATGTGGTACTCACCACATGTGTAATAAGGCATGATTCATTACACCCCCCCCCACACACACACACTCAAAGGTAAGTTTACCCAAATTTTTCAGCTCTTATCAGCTCTTCTTCAAATTCTTCTTCCGCTCTTCATATTGCTCTGTTAAACTCACTCCAGACTGACAGCCCACACGCTGGCCCCGTATGAGATTTTTGTCGCCATCAAACTTGGATTTCATTCCAATACTATGTCTGTCAGCATATTTGCGCTATCGTGAACCTGAACGTCACGACGATGCTTCCATAAGAGGTGGTGGATCTACTCTAGAGTTTGACGAACTCTTCGCTCGAATGGGTGCTAGACTGATAAGGCGAGTCACGTTTTTTGCGCCATCGGGACAATTACCCGTGCTAGAGGCGAATCGCGAAGCTCCTACGTCCAGCAATCCACTCTGGATCCCATCCAGACAATCGACACTTGGTTCTGGGCATGGGTCCATTCGACTAATTCCGTGGACATCCACCCTCTGCAAAGCGCAAGCATCACTGCTGACTTGTTGAAGGTGCACGTATGTGCTTTCGATTTGCACACTCGACAGCGCAGAATCGGGACCACTCCGATATCGAGGATGCTCGCGAAGTGCGCTCGGTCATCAGTCAAATCATCGAAAATAAGGACAGAAGATAAAAAGGATGGGGCAGCTTCCATAAGCGGGGTCTGCCTTTGGACCCGCATTGAACGTGCAAACGATACTGGGACAGTCGCGACGAATACACGTACGAGCCTCCCACGTGTTCTCGCTCGCTGGATATCCCAGCCATTTTCCTAAAAGCTCCATCCGACCGCGGACATTTCTCTCCGTCACCGCGTTCACGACGCGGTAATATTCATTTCCTTGTTGAGTTAGACGAGAAGGGTGGCCGAAACGGCGGCCGTCCCATCTGCTTTATCTTTGCCAGGTTTACAGCCTTCCTCCGATTAAAACTGCGTTTGGTGAAGAAGGAGAAGCTTCTCTAGCCTATGAAACAGCGGCTGATTGAAGTGATTCATCGCATGTCGTCGACTCGACAACGCGTGAGGTCTAACCGACAGATCATTTGCGAAGTTCGCGACTTCACATGGCGTCATGGCACCTCGCCTGTGAACGCAATCTAGGGTCGGACTCTCCGATTGAAGTGAAGGGCTCTGCAACTTCACCAGCCTGCTGCGGCGGCTTCCGCTGATAATGCAGGGTATCCTGCCAAGCGATCTCGCTCTGTTTCGGGCGCTTCCGATCATTTCCGTCCTCCCGAGAGCTGCCGAGGCGGCGACGCCAATGGGTTCAACCTTCGGCCCTCCGTGGGTATCGGGTTACACGTGCCCTGGTCGGAAGGGTGTGGGTCACACGCGATAATACATCACAATGGTATGGGTTTTAAAAGATGATGTGATCACACAATGGTGTGGCTAAACTTAAACAAAAGTCAGTACGTGGCTGGAACAGACAGTAGTTTTACATTTAATCAGGTTTTACTATATAGATAGGAAAAAATATAGGTTTAGATATAGGCGGCTTTGCCGATAATAAATCCGAGAGAAACAATTAACATTTTAAACGGGGGAGGTAATTATCCTTGAATTTAGGTTGTAGTTACTTTGGGAGTGAGTATATTGCGATCTGCTACACTCACACTGGTTCTAAGTATAGAACAAATGTCACCGACCTTAAGCAAGCTTCCTCTAAGCGAAATAGCTGCGGCAACCCCGCTGCACCGTGGCTTTACAGCCATTTTCATACACAACTGCGCTTTATACAGGTTGGAAATTGCGTCGTCGTGATAGGAGGGCTTGATGAGTGCTACGCGGAACGTTGGGTGGGTCCTTAGCCAGCTTCCCGAGTCGATAATGTATGCATTCCCACGACTTGGGACGGATCGATGATGCGAGGTAAGTGCTTTGAGCTTCCCAGGCTTGCGCATCGTCTGAAAGGCTCAAAGTACTACTTGGTACTTTGAGCCTACTACTTGGTACATAATACCCCAAAAATGAAAATCATTCTGCCTTGACCACCTCGTCTATCTGCGTATTCCAATTGCAGATCTTGCGCATTCACCATTGCATCTTGCACCCGTGTGATCACATTGACACGACTCACGAGGAATAAGTCCACGGCGTTCTTGTACTTGCGCTTGTATGCGCATCTTTGCTCGTGTCACATTGGGAGGCAACGATTTGCCGAGCTCCTCCCCCGCTTACAGTAGAGACAACACCCACCGCACACAGCGGTAGTTGCGGATGTCGTAGGCCATTCATAAAAATGGTGTAAACCCATGGGAGAATGAATGCTATTGTTCATAGCAAATTCACAAAACGTAAAAACGAACTTTATTTAGCGGAAATTTTCACACATAAACTTCTCAGCACATCGCCGACCACGTTCTATTTGTCCTTCGGTCTCTGTGAACATATTAAAGCGAGTGCCAAGGATTCGAAACAATTCATGAGCCGTGTACCACGATCAGCAACGATGGCGTCGATCAATCTGTGATTGCGAAAAAAGTGATCAGTAAAACAATTGTGCCAAACCTTCAGCATCGACGGAATCGCTACACGGAGCGATGCGGAATATCTTGCTGAGTCTGTCAACAAAAAATGGTTCTCATTGTGGCAGTCAGCATTCGTGGGTATGCCAAAGATAAAGTCGAGAGACTGACATCCAACAGCATGTTTTTAACCAGGTTCACAAACAATTCGTGTGGAACTTCACGATTGGGCGGAAGATCACAGGGCGGGCTCAAACTGAGGGCGTCATCCTTGAAATCTACAACAAGTGAATAATAAAGATTAGTCGGATTTTTTAAATAGGTCGATCCTCTGCGTGATTCTACACGATGTCGAAATCATTCAGTTTCGCTGAATCGACCTTCGACTGTGGCAACACGACCTCCGCAATACCGCCACATTTGAGGAAGTAAACGTCTGGATACGCTTTGGGAGTTGAAAGCAAGTTTTCGGCGCGAAAAGAAGAGATTGATTTCGTCATATATAAGCAGCTTATCGATGTATTGGTATTGAAGGTCTCGCTTGAAAAAGGAAATAGAGAAACTCCGGCCCAACGGCTTTCACAAGCTGCACCAGCTCTTCCATCGCTGGTAACGGTGCCAAAAAAAATGTTTTGGTAACTTTATAACCAGTCGTTGTATATACAATACGTGGGCCAGCATATTGCTAGATTTCCATCATTGGGAGTGGTACGCTAAATTATCTCACCCGCAGACTCCGCGTCCAGAGCAGGAGCATCAGTACCGCGATCAACGAATTCCAGTGATTCATGCACATGTATGGAAACATCACCTTTGGGGTCAGTTTCGCCCACCGACCCGCAATCCGACTCAACCACTGTATAAGTGGAAGAGTTGGTATAATTAGCCACAGTTGATTCCTTCGACTTCCCTTTACACACATGTCGACAACATTTTCTGTCTTGAGGAGGGCAACAACCGGCATCTATCCCTCATAATTCCTTTTTTGTTGGGCAATTCGCCATGTTCACCAACGATCAGTCGTTTCCAGGTGGCCAGTTCCGGGCATTACTTGATCGATAAGTGAGGTGACTGAACTGCATATCGCCAGTGCTTCGACAGTGGCCACTGTCGCGAGAACAAAGTGGAAACATTGAGAAGTTTTTCTTTGCTTGGATCAAACCGCTGGGTAGTACCCTCAGCCCTGGCCACGACTGAAGCAGCTTTGAGGGCGTGTCTAGCCGATCGAAGTAGGCGGGTTTTGCCGATTAGTAAGGTAAAGCCCACTTTTATCCGAGGCAAGGATAGTATAATGAATTGATTATGTGAAATGGCTTCCGCCTCTCACAGCTTGTGAGCTCCTGAAATATCGATATATTGGGTGTCGATGACAGTCAAGACTTGGCACCTTCTTCGTCACTGCATCCTCAGGCTAAGAAACATGTTGGTGCAGCGCAACAACCTTTTTATTAGCGATCGGGGCCCGAACTTGTTGCAAGCTTGAAAGCTGGTCGATAGCTGTACCAGCACAATCATGATATGAGCAGGGCTGGTTTAAGCACAAATGAAAGGTGAGACCAAAGATTTGCCTCGAAGTTGACGAATTGCTTCGTCGTTCGAAAGCTCAATTACTGATTAACGTTCTACTTGGCGACTATTTCAGTAAAAAACAAGCTTGAAAGTCGCAAAAGGGGTAATATTAATTGCCTTTTTCGCATAACCTCAAAAGTAACATACATTTAGAATGGGTCAACATACTAAATTTATCGGTCGTATCATCTCTGGTGATTATTATCCCATGTATTGCACTATGTATGTTTGCCGCCTTATTTGTTGCCCTATGAACATCCTTTTTACCATTATTTCTTCGGAGCTTACACTAGTGTCCTGTTGTATATGAGTTACATTTAAATATAGCAAGATGCATCAGCTTCAGTGATTTAGGCAACCCACGACACTTTTTCGAAAGTAAAAGGTCTTAAGACTGGGACATACTTAATTTTCTAAAATTTTCAAATGAAAAAGTAGAGGCAGTTCAGCTTACTATAATCTATATTTCACCGAACGGTTGCGCTACTACCTTAAGAATCGATACGAATGAATCGCATATGCGTGCCATGATCATATAGGTCTAAAGTTTACGTAATTGAAGAGTAGAGTCTATTCTTCCTATTAAAACAAGGAAACTAGCCTTTAGCCTATAACTTTGTTTTTCGCTGCTGGTTTGATTCGTATAATCAATAATACCATACATCAATATGCAATCAATCACATGATCTGCCAATCATAAAGCTAGAGCCATTTTATTAAATGGCTTTAAGCTCATAGTTTGTTTTATTTCACAGTCCTCAACACGTTTGAGCCAATCAATGTTAATGCCTATAATGTGTTCTAGTACGTGTACTGTATATCTCCACGTTCTTCGTCATGGTACTTCAAGTACATTGCAGGCAAACATAGCGGCTTTCTCATCTCCTTATAGCGCTATTGTGGTACCGTACGTCAAGAACAAATGGGCGGGTGTCTTTCAAAGGGTGTCTCCAAGGATAACGTCGCAGACACTGAAGTTGTACGTAGCAGAAGTGAAAGACATCGCGGTAGCACGAAACCTGACGGTGGTAGCTCAAGGCGTGGCACACCATCAATTCCCACTTCAGTGTCGGAACGGTCCAGTCGGCGACCGAGCAATAATACAGTGGACTTTCAGGAATTTAAGGATAGGGAGAAGAATGTGGTGGAGACGATGCTCGAGAGCAACAAAGGTTTGCGAATGGCAGAAATTAGTTTTGATGATCTGAAATTGCAGAAAATTATTGGTGCGGGGGCTTTTGGGGAAGTCATTAAAGGCACGTACTGCGGTACGCCCGTTGTAGTCAAGCGCATGTTGCGTAACAAGATTACAGAAGACAATTTGCGCATGTTTGGTGACGAACTTCAGCTCATGATGAATCTGCGGCACCCGAATATTGTTCAGTTTATAGGCGCTAGTTGGAATTCGTACTCTAACATGTACGTGCAGCGGGAAACCAACACATCTCACTATCTTAATATCTTTGTTCTATCAGTTGCTTTGTGACGGAGCTTTTGGAACGTGGAGACTTGTTCGCTGTATTGCGCAACCCAGAGAACGAACTGAGCTGGGCAAAACCTATTTTGCGTATCACAATTGACACCTCACGCGGTATGGCCTACCTGCACAGTATGAAACCTCCTATTATTCATCGTGATTTGAAAAGCATGAACATCCTTGTGAGGTACCGAATGTTGACGTTTATAACGTTTGCAAAACACTTCTCGATTCTGACAATATTTTAATGTTGATTTAAGCTCGACGTGGGGTGCCAAGGTGAGCGACTTTGGCCTTAGCCGTGAAAAATCTGTAGACGAGACAATGAGCGTGACGGGCACGCCACTATGGCTGCCACCCGAAATGATCCGAGGAGAACGTTACACGGAGAAGGCTGATGTCTACAGTTTTGGCATCGGTATGCAGTGCATTTAAACGTGTCATCATTATTGCTGTATTAATCTGTTGCGTAGTGCTAGCAGAGCTGGATACTAGAAAAATTCCGTACCACGACATCAAAGCAAAGGGGGCCCGAAATAAAAAAGTGTCTGGCAGTACGCTCATGCATATGGTGGCTTACGAAAACTTGCGTCCGTCGCTGAGCAAGACCTGCATGAAAAGCGTACACGACTTGTTTATGCGCTGTACGTCTGACGACCAGTCCGTGCGTCCAACTTTTGAGGAAATCGTACAATTTCTTGAAAACGACGTGCGAAAAGAGACACTCGTTAGTGCGGTGAGTTTTTATTATACATCTTTGTTTCTTTTGCTCCACTTGCTTGGAGACTGATGGAAGTTAACGTGTTGTAGAATAAAGAAAGGAGTATCTGCGAAGAGGAACAAAACGGATCAGACGTATCACCTGAAGAACTAGGTGTCCATCATGCCACACGATACGTGGACTAAAATATTTTTATAAAGACATTCTTTCGTTTACAGAAGAAAATATTAATCTAGGCAGTAAGATTTCAGTGCACTCTGGCAATATGCACAAGCTACTGACGGACAAGTAGACTACCCCTTACAGCTCCGTTTTCTCGTTTGACGTCTTTTGGAAAGCATTAAGTATATTCTTGCGGAGAGCAAAAAGGGTTTTCTTCTGCGGGGACACATTGTCGTTCTCAAGTAGGCCTTCAAGACGCTTGATCTCCGCATCCACGTAAGACGGGCCTTTGGCAACGATCTTGTTAATTGCCTTTAGATACAGTGCACCATACTTAGCATCACTGCCTTCAAGACCGTCGACAACAGTCTGCACCTTCTTGTGCACATCAATATTAATGTCACCACTCTCTGAAATGATAACGTCAATCTCTTCAACGCGACCAGCCTCAGCCGTAAGTCCACCGTCCACCGTGCGGTGTGTTCCAGCGTGCTCATTGATAAACTCAACAAATGTCGCTGTGTCACGTTCACCCGAAAAGTCCTCAGGTTCATCCGAGCCGGGGGCGAAATAGTAGACAGTGGGATATCCTTTCACGTTGTAGCGCTCAGCCAGCTCCGTATTCGCAGTGGCATCTACCGTGGCAATGAGCACATTCTCTTCACCCTCAAAGATTGTAGCCACTTCTTCAATAACCGGAGCTAACTTTTTGCAGTGGCCACACCAAGGTGCATAAAAGTCAACAATGGCGTGCTTTTTGGAGTGAATGACCTCTGCGTCAAAGCTAGCATCAGTCAATACAGTTGCGCGACTCATGGGCTTGGCCACACGCACATGGGTGCCGGCCTTTTCATTCAGAAAGTTGACAAAGTCTGCCTCGTCGCGGCCACCTTTATAGTCTTCAGCCTCTTTTGATCCCAATGGAAAGTATTTAAGCGTAGGAAATCCTTTAACATCAAACCTGGAGGCCAAATCCTTGTGGTTGTCAGCGTCTACCTCAGCCACCACCACATTATCCACCTTTTTAAAGGCCGTGGCCACCGTCTCGTAAGCTGGTGCCATGCTCTTGCAGTGACCGCACCACGGTGCATAAAACTTAATGAGCACATGTTTGGAGCCATCCACAACCTCATCAAAAGTGTCAGGAGTCAGCACGTTGACGTCACCGGCTGTAACAACACCCAGCGCCACCGCAGCTAACGAAACTGCAATATTCCAGACGCCCATTGTATAAACTTGCTTAGTTCCTGACGGCCAAAAGCGAGAATGAATGAAGTGAAGAATCAAATGTTGCATGAAAATAAAACGATACAATGACACGTGGCGCCACCGCGCTAAGTGCGAGGCGAGATGGCTACATTGCTAAACCTATTATGCTAAGATCTATCATTTCGATGCTGCACATTGAATCGCCTATCACTACTTTAGCAGTGAATTTAACACTTTGCATCCTTCTCGATGCTTTTCAAGTACATGTGCCCTTCTATCAAATTTTACAGGGCTCAAGTTGTTACAAAGCATCAGAACTGCACCATCATTTTTTAAGCCGATGCCATTTCTGATAACGTGCTGCGCAGCTTTTCAGCAAAGTTTTGACAATCCGTGACTATGCCTTTTTCAGACGGACAGCTTGGTACACGAACACCGCCAGGTGAGCTCTGCATTCTCACCGAATGATTCTGCGCCATGATCAAGAAGTCAAAAAAGTCAGCGAAGCGCTTTACATCACAGAAAAATATTATTCTTACCTCCAGAAAATAAATATCAACGGCGCAACGGTCTCCATATGACAGACGAACCTGCGTTTGCGACCGTGGAATCATCACCAATTCAGCAGGCACGAAGGACTTGTCGTCTCCACCGTATGACTTTTCAGCGTAGTAGTCTTTTTCCTCACCTGGTAGCTTGAACTTGTAGCCAAGTTTCATTCCCTTTCCACCCATTTTGCCACGATTAAAAGCTTTGACGTCCCCATTAACAGCGCCGTTTTTCAGAGGAAGATCTTGACGGTAGTATTTAGCGCACAAAAGCTGGGACTCTACAACGCTAGCTAAGATGCCCATCGGGATGCATGTACGTTCCAAAGCTTCAACAAATTGTGCAGGGTCACTGTGTCCATTCAAAGCTGACTGGATAAAGTGCATTAAAGGATGCTCCGTTTTATGGCTGTAATTGACCACAAAGCCCATTTTCTGCTTGAAATGCACTGTCACACGGTACGTCGTTATACCATCAGGTGAAGACCCAGCAGCAATGCAATGCCTTGGGTTAGGCGCTCGGCACGCCAAGACTATCGAGAAAGGGTCGGCGCTTTCCACAAAAAACTGACCGTTGCTTTTGATGTCATTAGAGTATCGTCCAACGGCAGTCAGCACCTTTTCAAGTTTTCTTGCGAGTTCACAAAGTGGTCTTACGACGCAAATGAGTTCAACCATAAACATTTCCAGCGGATTTTCACTAAATAGTTCGCTTGTCACAGCCGTTGTAGGATACTTAAAAATCAATTGACCGCGCTCGTTCACGTAGTGTGAACGCTCAGAAAGCAGACGCTTATCTGATTTCTGCGCTTGAATGAACGTGAATGGTGGTGATTCGAGTTGCAAGCACAACTCAAAACCCCCTTCATGCTTTAAGTGGCCTTGAATAGCAACAATCTTCAATGGATCTGTATTGACCTTTTCTGGAAACGACAGTGTGACCACTTGACCACCTGTGCCCTTTCTATTTGACGTACCAGCTTCACCTGAGTACCGAATCCTCGATTTGCGCCTTCGAGCAAAGTTGACAAAGTGCTGTAGCTGTATTCTTTCGCTGCACATATGTATTGCGTGGAGTAATACAGAGGCAATATGCGGAACCAAATTGCGGGAATCGGTTTGATGTTCGGTACCATCTTGCCAGTAGCCGAATGTTTCTTGCACTTTACCGCCATCATGCCAGTAGCCGGATTTCTCTTGCACTCGGCCGCCATCAAGTTTCATCTTTTTCGACGTCCTCATGGTTGATTTTTCGAACATTCCACTGGACGCATTAAAACGCTTTCGACTTCTGCCACAAGGACCAGCTAAACCCATCTCGTTATGTCGGGCTACGGACGGATGCAGAGCTTCTTTTTTAAAAGCACTGAAGCGTTGTATAAACTGCACACCTGAAGGCTGTCCCGGCATGCCTGCACTTGTTTGCAGCAACGAGAAGCATGGCAGCCGTACATACTCCTCATCGTCTGCTGCTTCATGCACATTTCCATTCATGCCATCCACCTCGCCATACTTATCGATTTCAACGACCAGATAGCACGTAGATTCCTTCGAGGATGTGAGCTGAAAGTATAGCGCCGTGCTTGAAATGGACAAGTCTTCGATCTGCCCGCCATGTTGTTGGCGAAAAGCGAGATACCGATCCCAGCTTAAATTCACATTACGCAACACGTCAATACTCTTGAATGAAGAGCCAATTTGGGCAACCTCGTCCGCCACAATCTCGCACAAAGCTTTTCGAACGCTTGTGTGAATCAAGTCACCCGATTTATCACCTTTTCCGTCACCAGAAACCAACGCAAACTCATTTGGAATTCCCTTATTGACATTCCCGCCAACCTCAATTTTGCATTGCGTGTTCAGCATTCGTTCAAGTTGCTTCACCGTGACATAAAGCGCAGAGCTCTTCGCCGCAGCAACTGTACTTGCAATAAATTGACCCTCACGAATATCAAACGTTACCTCTAAAAATTGCTGGAGACCGCCAATATCAGCCCGCGCAATCTGCAAGCTCGTGTCCGAGCAGACCATTACAACATTTTCCCCAGACACCAATTGTGTAACACCTCTCTCGTCCGGAGAATCAACGACAAGCAATCGACCGATGGAAAAAAGAGCCGCTGAAACATGCGCTCGCATACCAGCAATCAGCAGATTTTCGGCACTCAGCAGGAACATGTTTGAAGGCACCTCCAGTGCGCTTAACAACGACGCACAACCTGGCAGATTCGGTGGAAGCGAAGGACTTAGACACACAGATAAAAGCTTCTTCTTGTCAGGGTCGAAGCCCAGTCGAATGCACAAGCTTGATTCGGGAAATGGCAATACTGATCCTTTCCTCGTTGTAGCCACCGGATCACTTAAGTGTTGAAGCATCCGCTGTTGTTCTGTAATTATCTGCGTCTCTTTCCGTACACATGCATTAGGCCAATAGCAAATGTCCAAAGCATTTTGTTCACGAAGATGTTGTATCATTATGCGATTCTTCCAGCGACCTTCCGATAGCAATTTACCCTGCGAAGCCAGAATTTGCAAGGCCAAAGAGGAACAAAACTCTCGCATTACAGTAAACGCATCCACGAATGGTTTTGTCGACTTGTTCATGACACGTTGTAACAAATTCTTCAAATGGTTGTAATGTGCTGCATTTGGCGCATTTGTTCGAATTATGTGCAGTGCACTCGTAGATGCTGCCCGAGAGTGCTCCTCAAAAGACTGTGTATCTGTAAGAGCTGTGTTCACATCAATAACCTTCCATTTGGCGTCCTTATCCTTGCCCTGAATTGTCAAAACAATTTCAAACTCGCCTTCAGCTTGACATGTAACAAAACCTCCATCTAGCTTAACATTGGAAAATTGCTCTGGAATTTCTGCTTCGATTAGACGAAAGCGAATGAAATCCGCAACTTCTTTAGTGGCCTCTTCCGTATCCACCTCAGGCATTTCTCGTGGAAACATGGCATTCCTGATAATGGTAGGCAAGCGTAGGTAGCTTTGTCCATAAAGCACATCGACAGCTGTGCTGAGATCATACCGGCGTTCCTTGGCGCGATTTAAATCTGCGTGCATGAAAAAAAGTCGATCGTTTGTCTCATTCACATTATTTCGGTATAACTCTGTTTGCTGCAACAACGTGTTGCATTGCTGTAGCAGTGGTGATTGGACTGACCATTTCAGCAGCGCCAAAATTTGTGCAAAACGCTTACGCGAGCTCTGTATATGTGCCAATAGCGGCTCACGCCGGTCATTCTCGCGCATCGTAGGCAATTGGTGCATGAGTGTGCGAAAGTCCTCGTAACTCCTGTCAACGGCGCGATGTACGAGTTCAGATGCTTTCACACTGGTTCGCTCAAGCGGTGGAAAGTCGCCCATTATTGTGTGTTGACTAATTCACGAGTTGTGTTGCTATTCCGACCTGAATCCACCACTTTATAGTTTGGAATCAGACGATTTTAATGTCAAGCCTTACAAGAGATGCTTAATCGTAATAATACTGGCTTGTCACTGAGACGATGATTTACTGCCCCAGGGTGGTGCACTTGTGTACAGAATGCGGTGACCGACACAGATGTCAGTCTCCTCCCTTTGTGGGCTAGGACACAACTTCACAAGTGACCCTGGGGAAACCGCGCTTATAATAAAACCTCGGGTGGACCATGACATCGAGGTTTTATATCACTCTCGACAAAATGTAACATAATGTGAAGGTCGTCAATCAATTTATATTCATGTTGATACTAACTACACATACGATTACTTGAATACCTTTGAGTCAGCAATGGGCTTACCCTCAAGTTCGTCCTCATTGCACCAATAGGCCGCCACGCGCGCCTTTGTCTCGTCGTTCAGCTCTGCTTTTGTCCATGTATAGTACTCGGCGTCCGGATTCGCTTCAATCATGTGTTTTTCCGAGTCACCACGGAACAACCAGCAACCTGTGATAATGATTTCCGATCCCTCAGCACCACAAACGTCCATGACACCGAATGCGTACTTGCGCATAGCCTCGGAGCGCTGAAGAAAGCCACCAACGGCGTTGCATGTCATAAACATCTTGGTGTTCTCGTTGTTGTAATTGTAGTCGCAAAACCACAATGAATAACCTTCAGTATCCAAGTGCTCCCAAAACCACGTCATGGCATCCGCTAGATTTTTCGTGTTCGAATACTGGACCTTCCATGCATCAAGTATCATGGACGACGGCTTCTCACGGTTCAACACGGCAAGCGGGTGTTCTACTTTCTTCGGCTTGACATCCTCTTCTTTCAGAGAAGCTTTTTCATTCTGTGAAGCTTCTTTTTTAACGACCTTTGTGTTAGAGTTGTCTTCCTCTGTAGTAAGAGCGACGTCGATTAGCGGTACATCTCCAACAACAGCCTGAAACTCAGGCTGATTAACCAAAGTCGAGAACCAGCGATTCAATGCAGGGTATGGCTTCCGAAAATCCTTGTCAAGCACAAACTTAAAAGGATACACCAGAGCCGAGGCAATAAAGATGTCAGCGAGGGTGATCTGCTCACCCACGAGATAGGTGCGCAAGTGCAAATGATTTTCCAGAGTCTGTAAAGCCTTCTTTACGTCAGATTTGGCCTTGGTAAGAGCTGCGGCATTTAACTTGGACCAGCCTAGAATCGGGTATAGCCATACTTCTAGTGGAATTTCAAGCTCGTACGCAGAGAAATCGATCCAGGCGTCTACTTGGCCCGACTCAAAGAAAGATTTGCCGTAAAGACCCGTATCCGCACGAAGACGGGCCACATATTTAGCAATGGCACCGCTTTCAAAAATACATCCTTCATCTGTTTCTAAAAGCGGCACTTTACCCGTGGGGCTTTTGGCCTTAAATTCTTCAGATTTAATGTCCTTGGCAAAGTCAAACTCCGGCAATTCGATATTAATACCATTAAACTCGGCGGCTATTAGAGCCTTGAAGACGCGATAGTTCCCAGGGTAAGTGTAAAGTTTCTGTAGAATCGAAGAAACAACGATGTAGCGGAGAGAAAATATTGGTGCGGTTAGTTTCGTTTTGAGAGGAGACTGTAGGCGACGCATGATCGTACCAGAACCATGTTGAGAGGATATGACTGGTGTGTAAAAAGAATTGTAAGCTACATGAGAATATGTACAGTATTATGATCTACACATATGTAATAATCATATGTGATGAGGCAGGTTGGGCCTCCGTCACGAAAAGGTCCACGGGGTACGCGGGCTGTTACCCTCGCGTCATGTCATACATGTAGCTTCATTATTTACATGATAGGCATATTCCTAGATACAAGTCACTCTTGAAATAAACACGAGCATAGCAGTACTATGTTACTCGTTAGACTCTCGATTCTACTCCTGGGTGAACCGTACGGACTTATCTACTGTGCATTGACAACGCGGAATCTTTGAGTCAGAGTTTCCTTCTGTGCGAGGTGCATGGCAATCCCGTTGAGCTTAATAGCGCTTTAAGTCAATCTGATGATCAACGGTGAGGATGAAACACTAGTTGTTTGATATATGTATTCGGAACAACAAGTCACGCAAAGTGAGCTCCTATTATTTTTCATCCTGGAAGGATAAGGCAGTATGGTCTAAGGCTGGAGGCGATATTAGCTAGCCCGGATGGATACGGCCGAGGGCCGGAAGCGGTATTGCTCGGACACTTTCACCAGCCATGAATGCGCTAACAAAAACCTTCAGAAACGCCATAGTCGTGCGTTAGTGGAAGCGTGATCGGCTCCCAGTGTTAGGCCACTGATCTTGAGCCTTCAGCTTTTTGAGGGTTGGGTTAAATGCTTTAAGCAATGGGTATGAGATTTGAGATGGCCACAAATTTACCTATGCTCCCGATGGACCAACAGTGCGTGCCGCTGCGTAAGCTAAAGGGTCATGCGATGCGCAAAAATGGACACTTACGTGAAGAGACTCATTTACAAAGACACTTATTATACGAGTTCTTCTGCGAATATTTGTCCCGCCCATGTAGGCCCTCTGTGTACATTCAGAGTTCTAGTCCACTCGTCAAGGAGGGTAAGAAATTTTAGTGTTGGTCTAAGAGTTGCGAATTCGCATTGCCACGATGGTGGCAGGTCCCTTCGTAGAGGCTACAAAATATTGCTATCTTCATAGGGAGTTTTGGAGCAAGTGCGGCCCGACAAGACAACCTCGTCGGGGATGCGGCCGGTCACATTACGTAAAAAAACATTATTCGTGCCGCTAGGCCGGTTGGCGTATAGATTTTGGAAGCTTTACAAGAGCGCCAGAGGCAAAGGATCTCAGTCATGCTGAGGGGATAGGAAATGTATCATATCTGCCCTAGCTGTACCGTGAACATCGCAGTGGTAGATCTGTGGAAGTTCTAATGTGCGTATGTCTTGCCTGTTGCCTACTCTTATAGTGTAGAGGCTCAAAGGTTTTCTATAGATTCCACACACGATTGGCTGGCGGGCCACAAGTCGGACGTTGGCGGTTTACTGGGAAAGAACTGAGCGTTTTTGTCCTTTTGCGGAGGTTGAAGTCAGGAAAACAACCAGGAAACAGATTTTATAGAATGATCTCTTTTACACGGTAAATATTGTAATTTTCGTGCATTTACATCTGACGCTTTTGAAACAATTGTATATAAACAGTGCGATAAATTCGTACAAATATCACATTGAACTTTGGATATTTTGTGAAAATTAACAATCGCTAAATGGGCTGCTAGCCGCAGGTTAGACAGTTAAAACATTCCTATCATAAGAGATACTTAGTATATATAGAGTACTTGTCGGCATAGAACGTACTCCAAAAAAATGTACTTTTGAGATAGCGGAGTAGATCAAACAACGAATTACACTAGAGGCTATTGATTCCGCAGGTGGTCGAAGCTTACAAACCGAGCTGTCTTCGTTTATTACGGGCTGCTTGAAAATTATCATGTGAATAGTGCATGGCGATCCGTTGCACCTGATAGCACTCGCAGTCCATCTCAATATCGATCCATGATAGGATTATATTCTTTGCTAGGGTGGAGCATAAATTGATCGCGTACTGTCCTCCGGACAACTTGGCCGGCTTATAAAGCTGATGTCTATCATTAATCCCGACACTTTCAAGAAATTATCGACAAGGGTCGGAGGCGGTAACTAATCGTCTGAGGGAGCTCGCCAGCTTTGAGAGTACACCTTCAAGAGCTCCAGAGCCAGGTGCCAGTGAGATAGCAGATGACATGCACCGAAAGGACGTTGAAGTTAACGTCCGGGCCTTCGAGAGCCGGGGAGATAAAATATATTTCTCTGAGACGGAAAGTTGAGATGACAATGAACTCTTTCTTGCTTCATAGGTGGCAACGGCACGTCGCGCAAGCGGTCTCCAGGATAGGAGACCGCACGTAAAATGGAAACTTACATGCAATGCTTTGGTAAAAAAGGCATTCTCAATGTGGGAATCTTTGAATCGTTAAATGTTGCGGGTGTTCGCACACGTTTTTGGTGCGGTTTAAATTCTCGATGTGGGATTCTTTGAAGCGTCAGATGCTGCGGGTGCTCGCACTCGTTTTGGGTGCGCTTTGAATTCTCGTTTACCCCTTTTAACAGCTGATGAACGCGGAAAGTCTCGGTGCAAGCCGCACCCATTCGTGAAGACGGTAACTACTATTATTTCCGCATGAAGGTCAAACAATACTCTTACACCATAATAAATATATGTTTTAAACTTTTCAGTTACCTTTTCACGTAGAAGGCAGGGGATTTACTGTTACGGGGTTCACGTGCCCTTGTGAGAAAGGGCGGGTCGCACAAGATTGTGCGACCGTGCGTAGGTGTGCATTACACAGGTAGTGTAATCACACAGTGGTGTGGCTACACGGTAACAAGAAGCCACCACGTGGCAGGATTGCCAGTAGTAACGCATATTACTACAGTAAATAGGTTTTGCTACACTAATGAGGTATTACTAAATTAGACCCTGGGTTTTAGGTATTGGCGCCTCTGCCGCAACTAAAACAATAAGATAAAGTTTCAGCTTTGAACAGAAGTGTTTGTTTGCCTTGGTTAAGGTTATAGTACTTAGAAGTAGCGGATGGCGACCCACTACACTTGTACTGGTTCATGGAAAGAACGTAAGGGCGGTGACCTTAGCTTAGCTTACTCTAACCAAAGGGCTGAGGCAGCCCCGCTGCATTATTGCAGCATGGTTTCTTATACTCGTCAAGGACCAGCCGTTTTCCGAGTTCGAGAATGAGTATCAGCTGACTTATGGGTATAAACAAGGATATTGTCAGCAGCTGCCTCGACGTCGACATCGCACTTCATACTTCGCTTAGTCACGCGTTAGCCGGTATAAAACTTTATCATTGGAGTGAGGTGTAAATTGGCATTTGAGTAAGTCGACGTCCCTATTCCACATAACGTTCGAGTTAAACCTGTACTCTTCAGAACAGTCACCAGGTCTGAATACGGAGAAAATCTTCAAATGGTCACTGAATATCGTAACAGCTGTTGATTCAGCCAAACGAAACACCTCTGAGGATCTGCGGTGTGTGAAGTCGAATTTTTAGAGAGTGATTGTTGCGGATGCATCTTGCACCCGGAATTGAGCCAGGCCTCACACTTATATCAAGGGGAGCTGTGACCGTCTACCAAGCTGATTCAGTCACAAATCGAGCTGACTCTAGTTTACCGATGAGCATGCTGTGCAAGATCATATGCATTGATAATACGTCAAGCCTCGACATGATCTTAGTAGCGGGATGTCTTAACTCAGGGCGGTATGCGTAGGGGTGGATGTAAATGCTGGGAATGTTTGCAGTGATGATCAGGTGTATGTCGGAAATCGTTGGGCTACTTAAACTATTCTCATCGGCGATAACCTTCTCTTCCTTTCGGATTATACATTCATGAGGTCAACCGCAGCAACCATGTCGTATTGGCGACTCTTTAGAGTCATGCGCTTAACTAAGCAGTCGAGGTGAGGAATTACTTTTATTCAAAGCGTGTTTGTCGGACCTTATTACAGGGCTCAGTTTGTGATCTCATCTGAGATCTTTTGTGTATTATATCCGGTGTTAATGATGAACGCGCTTAATCGTTTTACATCGAACAAAACGAAGCTAAGAAGTAGCATGGTGATTCACAACAAAGAAGTGCCTTATTGTTACTATGTACAGATTTTTGTGAAAGCATTCCGAATAGAAAAGGCCAATGGGGTACGTGCGATGTTTGACTCATGTTGTGCGTTGTATGAATCGTACAATAAATCATTATTAGCAAGAATATATTTTATTAATTGTTTATCATTTTAAGCTTGTGATTTGGCACCCTGGACAACAGCCGACACCCGTCCACGGAGCGTTTGCTAACGTATGCTAACGTATCTCAACGAGATAGTTCTTTCCTGCAAGGCGTGCGGTAATACGTTGCTTTTTATAACTTCAGTCGCGAATTTGACGACGTATTTGATAAGAAGACTGCACTGATAAACTGGAATATGATTCACCTATGATACATCGAGAAAGGATTTAGAACTTGCTAGAGTACCCTCTTTCCTGGATCGTCTTAAGATAATCGTACAATTGGCAAATCAAGGCCGGAAAAAAGTTACCATTCGCCTTGAAGCGTTCACAAGAATTAGAATGCGTTGGTTGTAAACCTTCAAGAGGGTCTGAGCAAAACGCCGGTGAAAGAGCCGCCATTAAATCAAACAAAACCATCGAGATCAATATTGTTCATTTAAGCATCCAGCTGTTGGAAGGCAAAGACAGAGCTATTTTCCTGTTGACTATGAAATTAGCACAGTCTTAGACAGAGTAATGACGCGTCACGCTTGTGGTGATTAAGCAAGGAGATTGCGCGCAAAAATAGGCGCATCTCCGTAAACAAAGCAAAGTTTAATCTTAGCAAAAGATGTTGCGAGTTTTTGCTTCGCTGATTTTGGCTTTCTGTGTACGGTTCGATCAATTACCTTCGCGGATATTGAGTAAGTTGTATTCAGAGCTGAGAGCTCTCATAGCAAAATTGTCGACTGACCCTTCTTCTGAATCAGTAACGGTATATCTTACATGGAGGGACGTCATACGGGCGAGGCTTGCTCTGAGACCTTTAACGTCCAATCTCTCATATTCGTAGAAATAGTGTGCGTTGCATTAAATGCAAAGTACATATTTCGTACCACGAGGTAGGATAGGGAGCAGAGAATGTAAACTCTATATGCGTACTAGGGTTGATGGACCTCATCCATGCCGAGGAAGAAGAGGAATCTCTTAGTTGCTGAGCACCCGCTGGTGCTTCATCTGCAGTAGTGCAAAACTTCTGTGTCCTGCGCGTCTCTTTCGCTCTCGGCTGAAAGAGGTACGAAGGGTCTTGCTGCCACCAAAGGGTGGTGGACGAGTTTAAATGGTCGCAGGGTTACTGTGAAATTTAGTGGGCACCGTGTATCTCATGGAGGTCGCGGTCAATGTGTAACGGGGTTACACGTATTCTGGTACAAAAGGGCGGATTACACAAGACGGTGTAATCACACAATGGCGTGACTACACCGTAACAAGAAGCCACTACGTGGCGGGACTGCCAGTAGTTATCACATTAATTTGGTTTTACTAGTCAATTAGGAAGGTCTTAGATATAGGCGGCTCTGCCGCAAAAATTTAAACGGAAAAGTACATTTGCCTTGGATTAAGGTTTTGGGTACTCTTGAGGGTAGCAGATTGCGATCCGCTACACTCGTACTGGTTCTTGTGTAAAATGTCAGGTCTTGTGACCTTTGTAAATAAGCAAAGTGCTACGGCAGCCCTGCTGCGCAATGGAAATTGCCCTAAATAGGTGATTCCTTCAGAAAGACACAGTTCTGGGGTATTATTTGCGTAGCGGGGTCGCACGAGATGGTGTGCGTTACAAAAGATGGTGTGAGCACACAATGGTATGGCTACCCTTAACTAGTGGCTGGGACAGCCAGTAGTTAGTGATATCGATAGGAAATTTGAAAGATTTAGGTATAGGCGGCTTTGTCGCAGATAAAACTGAGAGATACAGTTTACATTTTGAGCGGAAGAGGCAATAAGTGTCGGGCTAAGGTTGTGATTTCTCTTGGAGTAAGCGGTTTGCGATTCGCTACACTCGTACAGGTTTTGAGTATAGAACGAAAATCGCTGACCTTAACTAAGCCTCCTTTAGGCAAAAGAGCCACGGCAGCCCCGCTGCACTTTGTTTATATCAGCGTCGTGAGCTTTGAACATTGATGGGAAGTGGTGAGAGATTCCGAAGCGTCGTGCGCTGACGTGCGACGCACGACTGTCGAATCTGTAGACATCACGTCAAAGCATCCAAAATGTCAATTATGGATATGATATATGTTCGAACTGCATGGCATGACTGGAACGCAGCGATCTATGGTGCTACAGGCAGTCAAAAAACAGAAAGCAAGCGCTTCTTTTCTGGTGATCAATTCGAAATTCTTTAGACCATATCTGAAAAAAATAAAAAGCGTATTTCGGTGCGTGTATGAAACTACAACAGCTTTCGTGAGAGACAAAGAGTTGTTCAAGTTGAACGAAACGCTATTGCGAGATCCCTCGAGCAGAGTCTGGAAGGTAGAAGCTGCAGGGAGCCGAGGTCTCAGGATGAGGAAGGATTGGACCACCGTTTATCGCAGTCTCCAGAGTGTACCTGTCCTGCTTTGAGGTTTGCGATGTCAAGCAAGGTTAGCTTTGCTGTAAAAGCTTAGAAACGGGAGAGGCTGCGTGGTGTTCATATTCATAGAACGAACTGATTCTGGTAGACAGCGATACTTTTGGCAGCTTCTTCTATTCAAGGAACATGCTAAATGAAAAATACAGTATCTCTTTGATCCAAGTGCAGACTGTATTCCAAAGTGATGACACGCGAACAGAAAAAACACTCGCGGAACGACTTCTGTTCAGGGTAAGTGGAAGGCGCACAGATGCAGGTGTGAAGCAGCTCCGCATCAGCGCGGCGATCGTCTATGCACGATCTAAAATTTGATCATGTTTTGATACCAGGAGTCGGCGTAACTTTGCGCTTGTAGTACAGCAAGCTAGGCTGCTCAATCCGGATCAATTCGTTGGTACCAAAATGAACGTCTTGCGGGATCCACGGCGGGGTGTGGAAAAACTTAGCGCTGCGGGAAAAGGGTACGGGGTCTAAAACTCAAGCGACGAAGGGGCTAAGCGCAGTGTGTGCGTCATCAATGCCAAAAGTCAAGTGTATAAAAACAGGACATGTTGTACAAGAAATGAGGGTTTCTCCTAACAATTGAAGTGTGATACTTGCACTTTATTCAACGGAAATGCGTTTACCATGAAGGCACTGCTCCGATCTTGGACATAGCCAGTGCATCTGAACTGTTGAATCACGTATCGCCGAGTGAGGGCAAATGTGATTGTTTGAATCACTAGGAACGCACACATCAAAGAACATCTGAGTATTTCATCAAGAATGATTTTCAGCAGGTCGGTTTCGACGACCGCACATTTGGCGAAGGTCCGTTTAGACATTTGATTCAGTGCACGGGAGCGGATATCCGATGCATGTATGCTCAATCTTAGAAAGAATAAAGCGCAGGGTGTGGAGTGGATTTCAGGTGCTGTAGTTCATGAATTGTATAATTTTACGCAGTGTTTAGGAATTAGACGTAAGTGTAAACGCAGTGCGGTACACATTGATATTTATTTATTACAAAAACTGGAAGGAGGGAGTCGAGGTACACGTAGGCTTCTCGTCGCATTTAAAAAAAAATTTACCATCGGAAAATAGTGAACGGTTATTTTCAGTGTTAATGGATCAAACTAATTATAACTGTACGAAATTGTGAATGACAAATCAAACTATTAGAGCTAGTTATCCGAGGTTCTCGGTTCCGCTTTTGGCAAGAGCGCACGAAGCCAGCCTCTGTGCGTTTGTAAACTTGGACTTTTAGCGTCTCAATTCTCTCTTTGCAAAGTGCGCGGCAACCCCGTTACAATTGACCTCTCCGCTGCTGAACAATGTCACAATATCCGCTGGAGTTACATCAGATGGCTCACCACGCATTTATTCGTTTAATCTTGGTAACGAAGAGGAAAGGATTGAGCTCATGCGCAGGGCCGACCAAAAAAACAGCAGTGACAAATATTGAGCCTCAGTAGCCCGCCATATGCCTACCGGAAGATAACCAACCTCTTTTATAGCTCGTGAAGGTCAAAATCAATGGATCTATGTCCAGTAAACAGATTTTTAAAGTGGTGGGGCTTGGAGCCTAGTTTTTATAGTCATTGACATCATCGTATCAGCGTATGAGATTTGAATAGCCCTATTTCATTTCGAGGCGTCCTGCACTATATTCAAAATGCGCGACTGTTGGGAGCCGTTAAGTATGTGTGGAGGTATACTGATTTCGTATACTCTACCCGTGTGTCTTGCGTTGAAATATTAGTAAGGGTCGATTTAACTTGCGCTGAAATAAATCACATGATGGCGTGAGACGTTGTATGGTCTTGTCCATTGTTTTGTGAGACGGTTTTACTGGCTGAGATCTCAGGAGCCAATAAGTGTTTTTGAGTAAGAAAACTTAGCTTACACAAAATTTTCATTAACATAAATTGGTGAGTCATGAAGTCACCTCAGCTTAACAGCATAGGCGCCGTTGGCGGGGTGCGAAGCTGCCACAACGCTGTATATAAAATTATATTTTTTGAAGTAAATTGCGGCAATATTGTTTGAAGACTTGATCACAGCTCGAAAGTCAATGGCGACTACAATCCCAGTCCTCAAAATTTATGTATACTAGGACTGAAAAATCGACCAAATGTTGTGTATTCCTAGAACGCTTCCTGTTGAGACGGATATGTGCTGCTTTGATCTGGATCTTCAAAAGTTACCTATGTTGAAGCAAAAATAAGAGCATAAAGTCAGATTTCTGGTACAAACATCCCCTGGACCGCGCTATGGAATTGCATCCCATTGGAGTATAAGCAAAATCATTTCTGATTGTGACCGTAAATTATCATATCTAGCAGATTGTAACTTAGTCTACACACACTGCATATGTCAACAGTGTTGAGCGAATTTTATCTTACACCACAAATTCATGTTTCTTGCGCTTGTTTCTCGCATCTGCATCTTACTTTTGCACATCCTCAATTTTAGCCATAAATTCTCACATTTAGCATATAACGCTCTATCTCTTCATTTGCTTTTGCTACGAAGAGTGGCCAAACTGTTTACAGCAAGTCGATCAGTGTCAAAAGAATCCTCCCCGCCAAGTTCTTCCCACTATGTGAAGGTGTCAAATGGACGCGACGCGATGGTCATTTTAACTTTTCATGTGGGGGCTTTTGAGACGAGTTTGTCGTTTTTTAACCCATATTCAATGAGTAGGATCAGCACCAGAGTATCTTCGCGCAAGCGATTCGGATAATACATTTCACCACGCGCGTTCGTCGGACCACCTGTCC